ACTAAAGATTAATCATACTTTAGCTATGTAGATCTGCCTACAAACCTAGTCAGTTACATTTTCATTAACTTTTTTAACTGAAAAGTAATAGGTGTTGACAAAGGAGGTCCAGAGGATTGTTCTATCCTCTGGAAAATTTTTTTCCCCAATCACTTTCTTATTTCCACATAAAGAAATAAATAATAATTGATTTGGTGGTAGGAATAAATAACATTTCAAAGACTGAAAATAATATATGAAGAAAGCTTTGGTTTACAGAGGAATATATTTAGTTCATGGAGAATGAGAGACACTCCAAGGAGGAGTATCTTAAAAGTGTCATACAAGTGCAATGTACATAGATAGGTATAAACTATGACAGGCAGAATAATAACCTCCTAAAAATGTTTATATTCTAAACCCTGGAGCCTGTGACTATGTTACACTGCATGGCCAAAGGGAATTAAGGTAGCAGATTGAATTAAGGTTGCTAATCAGCTGACTTTAAAATGGCCAGATTTTCCTGGATTACCCAATGTAATCATAAGAGCCCTTCAATGTGGAAGGGGGAAGCAGAGGAGACTCAGAGGGAGATGTATTAATAACTGCAGAAGAGGTCAGAGTGATGCGATTTGAGAAAGACTCAACTTGCCTTTGTAACTTTGAAGATGGAGGGAAAGAGCTACAAGCCAAGGAATGCGGGTGGCCTCTAGAAGCTACAAAAGGCAAGGAAACAGATCCTTCCCAAGCCTACAGAAAGGAATGCAGCCCTGGTGATGGCTTGATTTTAACCCAGTGAGCCCTGTTAGACCTCTGACTTATAGAATTGCAAGAAAATAAATTTGTGTTATTTTACAACACAAATTTTGTGGTAATTTGTTGCAGCTGCAATAGAAAACTAATACAGAAACTAAATACTGATAATAAAATTTCAAAAAGCATCTGGCAAATTTCATATATAAGCATTGTGTTTCACATGAAGAACAGAATATATAAAATAAAAATCCTGTCATAGAATCATTGAAAAGTACCTGGGACATTATTGCACTTGACATCATCATTTTACAAATAAGGATACTGACATCTAGTTGCATAATAAATGGAGTTAGAACTAGAACTCTAAAATTTTGACTCAGAGTTGAGACTCTTAAATTACTTTCAAATTTATCTTTTAGTAAGAGTATAACAAAATAAATGTAAAAGTGCACAAAACAAAAGAATTTGATAAATGATCAGGTGGAGAATCCACATTCTAAGATTTGTCATGGAACCAATAATTTTGACCACTAGCTCTATGTCTCTTTATCCTGAAAATGAAAACAATATAGCTATGGTAGGCTGAATAATGGTCGCCATAACATCCACATCCTAATCTCCAGAACCTGGGAATATGTTATATTTAATGATTTCACAGATGTTAATAAATTAAGGATTTTAAGACGAGGGGATTATCCTGGATTATGTGGGTGGGCCCAATGTAATCACAAGGGTCCTCATAAAAGGGAAGCAGAAGACACTACTACAAAAGAGGAGAAGGCAATGTCATGTGGATGCCGAGATTTGAGTGATGTGTTTTGAAGATGGAGGAAAGGGCCACAAGTTAAGGAATACAAGTGTTCACTAGAAACTGAAAAAGGCAAGGAAATGATTCTATCCTCATAGTCTCACCAGCCCTGCTGACACCTTGACTGTAGCCTAGTGAGATTTTTGGATTTCTGACCTCCAGAACTATAAAGAGAATAAATTTTGTTGTTTTAAGCCACTATGTTAAGAAGTAATTTGCTATCGTAGCACTAGGAAACTAACATAATAGCCTTATAGGAAAATCTAATTGTAAGTTCATTAAGTCAGATACTATCATATTATTTTTTAAATTCATATTTTT